AGAGAGCCAAAGCATAAGAGACTCTTAAAAAGTGAGAACAAACTGAGGGTTGATGGGGAGTGGGAGGGCGGGGAGGGTGGGTGATGGGTATTGAGGAGGGCACCTTTTGGGATGAGCACTGGGTGTTGAATGGAAACCAATTAGACAATAAACTTCATATATTGAAAAAATAAATAAAAATAAAAAATGGAAAAAAAATAAATGTATTGAGATTTAATTTATGGCCTAATATATGGTATATCCGGGAAAATGTCCTATATACACTTGAGAAAAGTGATTATTCTGGTTGTTGTCAGGTAAAATATTCTGTATACATCTGCTAGATGTAGCTGGTTTGTTTTTTAAGTCCTCTGTTTCTTATCTTCTATCTTTCTCTTCTACCCATTGTTGTGACTGGGGTATTGAACTAGTGAACTATTGTAGAACTGTGTATTTCTCCCTTATATTCCGTTCATTTTTTTTCGTATATTTTGATGGTCTATGATTGCTGGATTGTGGATACTTCTATTTTTCACTTTACATGGAACCTCTGTACTGTTTTCCAGAGTGACTGTACCAGTTTGCATTCCCACTAACAGTGCAAGAGGGTTCCTTTTTCTCCACATCCTCACCAACACTTGTTGTTTCTTGTGTTTTTGATTTTAGCCATTTTCACAGGTGTGAAGTGATATCTCACTGTAGTTCTGATATGCATTTCCTTGATGAAAAGGGATGATTAGCATCTTTCCATGTGTCTTTGGCCATCTGTATGTCTTTTTTGGAGAAATATCTGTTCATGTCATCTGCCCATTTTTTAACTGGATATTTGGTTTTGGGGTGTTGAGTTATATAAGTTCTTTAAATATTTTGGATAATAATCCCTTATCAAATGATATGTCATTTGCAAGTATCTTATCCCATTCCATAGGTTGCCTTTTAGTTTTCTTAGTTATTTCCTTTGCTGTGCAGAAGCTTTTAATTTGATGAGTCCCAATAGTTTATTTTTGCTTTTGTTTCCCTTGTCTTGGGAGACCTATCTAGAAAAAAATTCTTGTAGCCAGTGTCAGAGAAATTTCCCTGTGCTCTCTTCTAGGATTTTTATGGTTTCAGGTCTCACATTTAGGTCTTCAATCCACTTTGAGGATTTTTTGGTGCATGATTTAAGAAAGTGGTCCAGTTTCATTTCTTGTGCATGTTCTTATCCAGTTCTCTCAACATCATTTGTTGAAGAGTCCATCTTTTTCCCATTGGATATTCTTTATTGCTTTGTTGAAGATTAACCATTTAGTATGGGTTCATTTCTGGGTTTTCTGTTCTGGTCCATTGATCTATGTGTGTATTTTTTGTGCTAGTACCATACTATTTTGATTACTGTAGCTTTGTAATAGAACTTGCAGTGTACCTTGAAATCTGGAATTGTGATGCCTCCAGCTTTGCTTTTCTTTTTCAAGATTGCTTTGGCTATTTGGGGTCTTTTGTGGTTCCATACAAATTTTTGGATCCTTTGTTGTAGTTCTGTGAAAAATGCTATTGATATCTTGATAGAGATTGTATTAAAAATGTAGATTGCTTTGGGTATTATAGGCATTTTAACAATATTTGTTCTTCCAATCCATGAGCATGGAACATCTTTCCATTTCTTGGTGTCATCTCAATTTCTTTCATCAGTGTTTTATCAGTTTCTGGAGTACAGTTCTTTCACCTTTCTGGTTAGGTTTATTCCTAGGTATCTTATTATTTTGGGTGCAATTGTAATTGGGATTGTTTTCCTAATTTCTCTTTCTGCTGCTTCATTATAGGTGGTGTATAGAAATGGGGCAGATTTCTGTGCATTGATATTGTATCCTGAGAATGTACAGTTTGTGTTTCAGTTCTAGCAGTTTTTCAGCTGGAGTCTTTCAGGTTTTCTCTATATAGTATCATGTCATCTCCAAATAGTGAAAGTTTTACTTCTTTTTTACCAGTTTGGATGCCTTTTATTTCTTTTTGTTGTCTGATTGCTGTGACTAGGACTTCTAGTATTATGTAAAATAAAAGTAGTGAAATTGGACATCCTGATCTTGTTCCTGACCTTAGGGGAAAGGCTCTCACTTTTTCCACATTGAAGATGATATTTGCTCTGGGTTTTTCAGAAGTCTGTCTGTCTGTCTGTCTGTCTGTCTCTCTCTCTCTCTCTTTCTCTCTTTCTCTCTTTCTCTCTTTCTTTCTCAACCTAAGACCCTGAAATCAAGAGTCATACTCTCTACTGACTGAGCCAGGATGATACCCCACTCAGAAGTGTCATGGGTTTTTCATATATGGCCTTTATCATTTTGAGGTATGTTCCCTCCAAATCTACTTTGTTGGGGTTTTTTTATCATGAATGAATACTGTACTTTGTCAAGTGCTTTTACGTTGTATCTACTGAAATGATCATATGGTTCTTATCCTCTTATTGATGTGATGTATCACACTGATAGATTTGAGAATATTGAATAACCCTTGCAACCCAGAAATAATCCTACTATATTGTGGTGAATGATTTTTTTAAATTGTTGTTGGGTTCTTTTTGCTAGTATTTTGTTGAGGATTTTTGCTTTTATGTTCATGAGGGATATTGGCCTGTACTCTTTTTGTGTGTGTGTGTGTGTGTGGTATATTCGTCTGGCCTGAGTATCAGGGTTATACTGGCCGCATAGAATGAATTTGGAAGTTTACCTTCCTTTTCTATTCTTTGTAATAGTTTAAGAAGAATAGGTATTAACTCTACAAATATTTGGTAGATTTTGCCTGTAAGGCCATCTGGTCCTGGACTTTTGTTTGTTGGGAGTTTTTTGATTACTGATTTAATTTCTTTTCTGGTAATAATAGGTCTGTTCAAATTTTCTTTTCTTCTTCATTTTTGGGAGATTATATGTTTCTAGGAATTTACCCATTTCTTTCAGGTTGTCCGATTTGTTGACATATAGGTTTTCATAATATTCTCTTATAATCCTTTGCCTTTCTGGAGTGTTGGTTGTTTAGCCTCTCTCATTTGTGCTTTTATTTATTTGGGTCCTTTCTCTTTTATTCTTGATAAGTCTGGCTAGAGGTTTATCAATTTTAATGTTTTTTTTTCAAAGAACCAAGTCCTGGTTTTATTGATCTATTCTTTTTTTAGTTTCTATATCACTTATTTCTCCTGTAATCTTTATTATTTTTTTTTCCTTCTGCTGGTTTTAGGTTTTGTTTGTTCTTTTTCTAGCATGTATGGGTATGTTAGGCTGTTTGAGATTTTTTTTGCTTGTTGAAGTAGGCCTGTATTTCTATAAACTTCCCTCTTAGAACCACTTTTGCTGTATCCCAAAGCTTTTGAACAATTGTGTTTTTATTTTCATTTGTTTTTATGTAGTTTATTTTTTTTTTCCTTTTATTTTCTGTTTGACTCAATGGCAGTTCTAATATCAGGATCTAATCTAATGCTGGGAATCTCTTGACTAGGTTTCAAGTCCTGGAAATATTTCTCCATGGTTTTCAACCTCACCCTATTGTTTTTTAGTTTTGTTTTGGTTTTGGTTTTGGTTCTGCTCTCTGAATCATCCATCATTTTTAATGAAAAGCAGCACATGTTTACAGTTTACAAAATATAAATTATAAGAGTTTTATGGTTTAAAGTCTTACATTCAGATCTTTAATCCATTTTAAGTTGATTTTGTGCATGGTATGAGGTAGTGGTCAAGTTTCATTGTTTTGCATATGGCTGTTCAGTTTTCCCAATATCATTTATTAAAGGAAACTATCCTTTCCCCGTTTATATTCTTGGCTCCTTTATCATAGATTAATTGATCATAAAAGTGTGGGTTTGTTTCTGGACTCAACACACAGAGAAGGCCATGTGAAGATGAAACAGAGAGAATTTTAAGATGCTGACCTTGATTGAAGATTGAAATCACAGGCAAGGAATGCTACCAGCTAGCGTGTCACTGCTGGTAGTTTACTTTCTGCCCAATGATACTGATTGCAGTCTGCTGGCCTCTAGAACTATGAAAGAATAAATTTCTGTCATTTTAAGCAACATTGTATGATAATTTGTAACAGAAGCCACTGAAAACTAATATAAATGGGTATTGATGTCTCAGTGTTGCTTTTTAAATGCATTTCACTGGTTATTAAATGAGATTAAGTATCTTTGCATAAGATTATTGATGTCCGGTTGTTTTTTTCTATGAGTTTTCAACTCCTGTCATTTGTCTTTTCTTTTTTTCAGTTTACTTTCTTATCGATTCTGACTACTAACCCTGTCATTTGTCCCTGTTACTAAAGAGATATTCATAATCTGTACCTTGTCTTGCTACCTTATTCTGTCTTCTGCATTCAGATCTTTTTTACATTTTTTTAATTATGGAAATTTTTAAACATACCCAAAAGAAGAGGGAATAGTATGTAGTATAACACATTTTCCATATACCCATCACTCAGCTTCAATAGTATCAGTATTTTTTCCACAAGTATTCGTATTTTTATGTACTTTCGTGCATTATCTAAGCAATCTTTTTGTGTTGCTATTATTTCTGTAGCAATTTCTGTCATGATAAAATATTTTTCTGATAATATTTCTTTATCATTTTATAAATGATATATTTATACAAATATTATATCATTATATACAAATGTTATATAAATGTTATATGTGAATATTATATATTTGTTATATATAAATGTTACCTTATGTGTAGCAATTTCTAATATATACAAAGAATTATGGCACCTATGTTAACCTGTACCTTCTTCCTAAACAACATGTACTTTTCTTATTCAGCCAGCACAAGCTACTGATGCAGATCTTGGGAGTTTTCCAGTTGTCTCATCAACATCATACATGTCACCATATAGCTTGTTGAAAATCCCATGTGTCCTTCTAAGAAGGCAGATCAATCATACAGGAGATGTTAAAATATATGCCTGAGTCAACTGTACTGGCATTTTTGTTTTTACAAAGTAAGTCCTCTCATTTTTTCTCCTTATTTCTAGTGTGCCACCTGGGCTTGAAGGCATGAAAGAACAAGACATCTGCAACAAGATAATGGCTAAATTACTAGAAAATTATGATACCTTGTTTGAAGTAGAGTATACAGGAAATGATAACCAGAGATGTGAAAACATGGCTAGGATTATCATAGTAAAAGTAAGTAACTTTGGTATATAATCTTCAGTATTGCTTATATTTTGAATGGAAGACATTTTATATAGATCATTCTTTGTCATAAAAATGTCATGGGTATAACTTATATTATTATTCCTGTGTTTATTGAATTTTGTTTATGAAATATAATCTGTGTCAAGTATTTAACTGATCTATATTCTTCTAAGATTGGAGAATAATTGTGAATTCATGTTTCCCTGCCGCTGTAAAATCATCTCAAAATCACTTATGTAGGCCCAGTGCTCTGGTTGGTTTTTATGGAAGCCTGGTGTTACAGCAGAGATATGTGCTTATAGCTGTGTTAGGAGTGCTAGCTTACTGAGTAGATGGCAAATTCCTGAAGATAATGTTACTGTCTTTTTATTTCCCTTGTGTCTGGCACACTTTCAAGTTCACCTTCAGATTTTAAGTCCCACATATGTATCCCCTGGCAACTATCATCAGTAAAGGAAAGTATTTTTATAAGCTGTAAAGGAATCCTTAACAATACTATCTCCATCTTTTTATACATTGGCCGATAATTTATAACCTATCCTTTACACATTAGGGAAATGTAAGTAGGTCTCTAAAGAAAGTCCGACAATAAACCAAGGCAAATCCTCCAGGGGAGGGATCATATTTCTTTCTCACTTATATTGAGGCAAATCATGATGGAATGGATATGGGAGGTTCCCTTAGGAGATTTCCTGAGACTTATCACCTTTACAGACTGCATTATACTTGTTGATTTACATGGCAATGACTGATAAAACCCAAGACACTTGTTTTGGTCATTGAAGAGGTATTTTCATCCCTTCTTCCAGTTGAGAACATGACTTTGAAGAAGAAATAAAAGGTAATGAGTATCAAGTAGCACTCTACCAAAAAAGCAAAAGAAAACCAAAAACTAGGTTTTCTTATCCAGACTCCTTGTAAGGACTATAGTACATCTGAGAGGAATGCCTCTATCTGGAATCTTGCCAAACTGATAAAGAGAACTTTAAACTTTGAAAGAAGGGAAGAATAATACATAGATAAAATAATGAGATACAATAATAATGTAAGTTGGAGGCAACACAGTAGCTGAGAAAATATGTCCGTGATTCACCAGAGAAAATACGGAAAGAAGATATACTGTCTTGCTACCAAAAAATTAAAATAAATTCTCTTTTAAATAGAAAAAAAAATACATCCTAAATTTCTTCCTCTGTCTCCTAGAGTACTTTGCAAAGGTCTCTTTTTAAAGTATTAAAAAGTGATTGACTTTGCTACAGCTGTATCTCTGATTAACACTTTTTAGCACTTGTACTTTTTAACTAGAGCTTGTAAGATAATCAGATAAGCCTAAAATATAATAGAAAAATATGATCTCCTAGGCAAAATAAACTTGCTGATATATATATATATATATATATATATATATATATTCACTGGAATATGCCAAGAGGAGGTTATATGCTGTGTAAGTAAAACAACACCTGTTTAAATATATAGAAGGAGGGGCGCCTGGGTGGCGCAGTCGGTTAAGCGTCCGACTTCAGCCACGTCACAATCTCACGGTCCGGGAGTTCGAGCCCCGCGTCGGGCTCTGGGCTGATGGCTCAGAGCCTGGAGCCTGTTTCCGATTCTGTGTCTCCCTCTCTCTCTGCCCCTCCCCCGTTCATGCTCTGTCTCTCTCTGTCCCAAAAATAAATAAACGTTGAAATATATAGAAGGAGTCCCTGCCTAGAACTCATTGAGCTACTAGATTTAAGTCTAGTGGAGAACTTAGTATGAGAGTACAAGATAATAAGACACACAAACTGGTAGTACTGTGGGAGTCAAATACAGGTATCTTAGGTAGATAAAGAATATGACTGCTACTCCCCTAATGCAAGTTTCAGATCTGGCCTAGAGGCAGATAAAGATCATGTTTGAAAACTGCATTTCTATACCGTGGAAGCATCATTCTGCTAAAGCAAAATAGTTGGTGCATTCTTTACTGATCTTGCTGATAGTCTCATCTCAGATGGTAGCTTATGCTACAAGGGAATATGATGTTCCGAATCTAGTTACAGCCAGTAAGGATGAAATGTAAGTTGCAGAAATGATTTTAATGGAATATGCCAATGCCATTTTAGGGTCCATAAAAATAAAGAACATGCTAGCTATAATCAGTTATCTAAACTTGGACATTGTTTAGAAAGCAGTTTTTTTTTTTTAATTCCTAAAATCAGGGACATATTAGATACAAACCAAAAGAATACTGGATTAGAAAGGAAATGGGAGGCTAACAATGAAATCATTAACGTACTAAACAATTGGAAAACTGGAAGGTAACTAAAAGAAACAAGTTCTTATTCTCGTCATTCTCATGAGCTCAGCTTTTAGAAGGATAGGTAGAAGAAGAGACCAGCACAAAAGAAGTAATAAATATGCATGAATGACAGACACATAAAGTGAGCTGAGAATAAGCTTAGGCTCATGGAAACTACTAAGGTATAGAAATGGGCTTTTAAGGGGAAGAAGTACTAAATGTATCCACCGACATACCTCTGTGTACCCCATTGTGGGGAACAGAGTCATAAAAGATTGAATGAAGTTCACAATATCCTTGTGGGCTTTAGGGAGATTTGGGGCCAAGACAAATGTAAGTTTGGTTGCAATGGGACCAGGATGAAGGACTTTGAATTTGGACTGGTGTTAACTTAGGGCAGGACTCTACATTTGTTTGTGTTATTTTCAGTATTTTAATCATTGACTTAAATGAGTACATACTTAGCACATTTGCAAGTAAAATACAGATGGAAAAATAGTTCAGATATTGGATGGCTGGGTATGTAGACTAACAGAATGATGTGTGAGTGCATGTGTGTGCGTGTGTGTGTGTGTGTGTGTGTGTGTGTGTGTGTGTGTGTGTGTGTGTAGTACCATTTCCCTCTTCTTTCTTGCTTCAAATAAATGAGCATTTTATTTGGGCCTGTAGCAATGTGCTGAGGTCACATGGGCCTCTCCCACAGTTCCAAGGGATACGTGAATGAGTCACAGTGGTTTTTACTACCATCCTCTTTAGCTTTAAGATTTAAGTTAGTTATGACTTAAAGGAAGATTGAGACAGTTCTGGCCAGGGAGATGTAAGGCAAAGTGTGTTGGAGGCAGAAGACCTCTGGGAAAGATTGTCATCCTTGATTAAAAAGAATGATTGAAGGAGCACCTGGATGGCTCAGTTGGGTAAGGGTCCGACTTTAGGTCAGGGTTCACTTCAGCTCAGGTCATGACCTCCTGGTTCATGAGTAGAGCCCCTCATCAGGCTCTATGCTGACAGTGTGAAAGCCTGCTTGATATTCTCTCTCTTTCCTTCTCTCTCTGCTTCTTCCTCACTTGTACTTTCTCTCTCTCAAAAATAAATAAACTAAAGAAAAAAAGAATGGAGAGACCAGAGCTGTGGTTTTCCTCTGGGTATAGTAGCCCTGGTGGTTGTGATTGACTAGGAAAATGCCCAAGGGTACTCTCCAGGGGTGATGAAAATTTTCTGTATCTCATTAGGGATGTGGGTTATATGGGTGTCAGCATTTGTCAAAACTCATTCAACTGTACACTTAAGGTTTATCCATTTTAATTAATGTAAATTATTTTTTTAATTTTTAATTACAAAGAACAGAAGGTAGCAGGCCTTTGAGCAAGATGCCCATCTCTTTCATCCTGCTTTCAGATGTTATCATCTGAAGGTATGATGCTTGGAGCTGTTGCCATCATCTTTGCCCTTGATAAATGTATCACTGGCACACTGAAGTGAGCAGCCCAAGGAGGAAAGAGGCTAGGTTCCTCATCCTTGCTGATGTGCTGACTAGCCCCAAACATGCCTACCTCTGGACTTTGAGTTACATGAGGGAAATAAAGGTCCTTAAAATATAAACTACTTTTAGCAGAGCATTCTGTTTCTTGCACCAAAAGCATCATACCTGATACAATTGCTATAATTGGAAAGTGCTGTACTTAGGTTTGTAAAATGATTTGTACAAATATAGCCCAGAGGAGACCAAAATTAATAATCGTTAAATTTGAAAATCATCCACAGATGTTAATTTTTCAGCACAGTACAAAATATCAGTGTGATGTAATTGTTCCAAAATACCAAAGACTCATTCACTGAATGGACCAATAGTATGCAGAACAAAGAATGTAGGTCTCACTGCTCTTGGTGTAGGTCTGGCAGTATCTGCAGTATTCTATCTGATTCTGAGTACTACATTCTGACCCTCCTGACAATCACCACTGTGACTCATTTACACTCATTAAGTACATATTCTCCTGAATAACTGTCTTTTACTCTAGGTACCATTCTGCTGATGACCTTGAAACCATCACTCAAGCCTGTCCTGTCAGAACAGCAGTAAAGCTGTATTTCCCACTATCTAGAAAATGCCATGCTGGTGCCTCACACCCAAAACTTTGTGTTCTATCCCCTCCAACCCTAGTTTCCCAGCCTCCAGCCTACCAGACTAGAATCCTTACTTTATCCTTAACTCCTCTAGTCTTTACCAGTGCCATAGGGACTCAGATACTATCTTCTGTCTCTTGGAATGGGTGTCTCTTGTCTACCCATTACAATTGCTTTAGATAGGACCTTATCACAGGCACCCAGTTTCAAACTGTTATCGGGCTTCCAGGCTCACTCCCCTCCCATCTCCTTCCTACCAGTGATAGAGTTGTGTGGCTAAAAAGCAAGCCTGATCAGGGGCGCGTGGGGGCTCCACTGATTGAGCTTCCGACTCTTGATTTCAGCTCCCATTGTGATCCCAGGGTTGTGCGGTTAGGCTCTTCACTGAGCATGGAGCCTTCTTACAATTCTCTTTCTCTCTTTCTCTGCCTCCTCCCCTGCTCATGTGCTCTCTCCCTAAAATGAAAAATTAAAATTTATAAAAGCCCGATCATAATATATTCCTGCCTTAAGTAAATAAACCTTTTGCTGTCATTGATCTGTCTCCCACTCATTTGCTCACAATATGTCATTAAGATGCCTT